AGATTATTGTCTGGTAAACATAGACGCCCATAGTAACAGTAACCTGATTATTGTCTGGTAAACACAGACGTCCATAGTTACAGTAAACAGATTACTGTCTGGTAAACATAGACATCCATAGTTACAGTAAACAGATTACTGTCTGGTAAACATAGACGCCCATAGTAACAGTTAACAGAGTACTGTCTGGTAAACATAGACACTCATAGTAACAGTAGTTACAATAAACAGATTATTGTCTGGTAAACAAAGACTCCCATAGTAAAAATAACCAGATTATTGTCCGGTAAATATAAACGTCTAAAAAAGGAACAACACTGTAGTTCAATAACAGATAAATATTTATAATTCCATAGTTACATATAATAACATTAACATAGGCATGGATATTGACCTTACTTTATTTTTATTATCAGACGGCCAGGTAATACAGGAACCATATTTATACAATTACGTATAATGCATTGTTACGTAAATAACAGTGTATATACAATTACAGCGTTGTATTTACTTTTTCGTTTTATAACATATCGATACACTTACTCGTTAAATATCTCTTTTAAAAGCATGCTTCTTATAGCTGAATTACACGATGTTTTTTTTCTGTCAGGGAATGTTGCTAAGCATGCCGTGACGTAAAATTAGGATGAAAATTCGCGATTCATTTCTCGGCTGTCGAAAATAGTGGGCATAGAAAAATGCCTTCGTGTCCAACAATAACTGTTCTGTTATTTAGTAGAATGTTATGTTTACAATAAACCATAAACCAAACGAAATCACAGAGGGAGATAAACAAATGTTTTGCAGTCATTTTAACGTAATAGTAAGAGTTGAAAAATACATATCTTACCATTTCTGATAGTGTGAAATCATCCTGCTCTCAGCATTGTTTGAATATAGTTTTTAGTATGAATGTGCATTTTAATTCTAAAAGAACACATACAATCATTCCTAAAAGTATATAAACATTTTCATATTAGCGTCATTTCTCGCTTTACATAGCGAAACACCACTGGATCACTTACTTCATTGACTCCCCATCAGGACACGACAAAAATTAGTCAAAACTTGTTTTCATGGCAACACGAAAAAATTAGAGTAGATTTTCCTGCATAGCAAAATGTACTGTAGGACTAGTAATACATATTTTACAATGTTTCATAAAAGCACCATAACGGAATGAAAGACTGAAAATAAAATATAGTACTCACCTTCTGTCTTATAGATCTCTGAATCTCAACAGGGCTATGACGGTTCGCCGAAGCTTTTATACTGACCCCACAATATTGACAATAAACAAGGCTTCTGTTGACAACGCCAAACAAAACATTACAATGCGCAAGTTTGGGCACGTCCGTACAATCAACTTTTATGTAAAGACTGAAAACCGCTGGTGTTTGTATCCGCTTTATATAATACCGAATAGAATTAAAAATATAAGACCTTTCTCATCGTAAACTGCTTCCTTCCCCCCTGTTTCTTATCAATGCAGAAGAGTCGTAAAAAAACAAACGAATGTCTGCACAATTCAGATCAGGGGCCGGATGGGAGAAAATGTGTAAAGACCCTATTTGTAATAACAACTTTAAGACACGAATTTTGATTGGCCGACCAATCATCACCGGTTGTTGCTGAGACTGCGAGGGAATAACAAGATGGCGACAGAGACGATGTCTATACAGAGTCAGAATGGAACTTGCTCGATTGAAGACGAATGGTTTGTATTTAACGTTCATGTTGGTGTATGAATAAATTAAAATATTTAACACTAAGCTATTATGAACATGATCACAGCTTGCTGTAGTGTTATTTAACATTTTGCCCCTCCCTACCCATCATCGAACGATAGCAAGATCGTGCAAAAATTCGGTGCACCGGGGTGTTCCTTTTATTTCATTTGACACCTATTAATTTGTTTACTCCACGGAGAACAAAATAATATGAATTACCACGTATACTGTAGACCCCCACTTTACATTCCCACTTTCTATATGTGTCGGGATACGTGTGTAAGTGTTCGGCTCTCAGCATCGACGTGTTGTTATTTTTTTTATTAGTATTGTAACGAGCGCGCGTCCGGTGCCCACGTCTCACCGGCCGCCGTCGAAGAAGTATGGGGTTCTTGTTTCACCAATATAGTGTGCTTCCTGGATCCTGGATTATCACGGTTGAATATGTTATATCTCCTCTATGTCAGGTCCGAGAACAATGGTCAGAAATAGTCTAGCAGTCTAATTTACTATGCGAAAACTCTAAATATCAACCAAGAGCCCAATTGACAGGTACAAATATAATTTATTAAAGGAACAAGTTAAATAACAATGTATCTTTACAGAGTACAGATCAGTATAATATTACAATACAAACAAGGCATCAACACAGGTTCTTGCACCAGACAATAACAAAGGTGATTGACAAATTGTACACAACTATTCCCAAATTATACACTAATTGACTGTATTTCCTGTACCAATCTNAACTTTAAGACACGAATTTTGATTGGCCGACCAATCATCACCGGTTGTTGCTGAGACTGCGAGGGAATAACAAGATGGCGACAGAGACGATGTCTATACAGAGTCAGAATGGAACTTGCTCGATTGAAGACGAATGGTTTGTATTTAACGTTCATGTTGGTGTATGAATAAATTAAAATATTTAACACTAAGCTATTATGAACATGATCACAGCTTGCTGTAGTGTTATTTAACATTTTGCCCCTCCCTACCCATCATCGAACGATACTTTTATTTCATTTGACACCTATTAATTTGTTTACTCCACGGAGAACAAAATAATATGAATTACCACGTATACTGTAGACCCCCACTTTACATTCCCACTTTCTATATGTGTCGAGATACGTGTGTAAGTGTTCGGCTCTCAGCATCGACGTGTTGTAATTTTTGTTATTAGTGTAGCGGAACTGGACTGGGTCGATCGTCGGCGACCTGAGATAGCTCAATTCACCCTTCCATGCCCCGCCCCCACGTAGCAACCAAAGTTACGTGACTACATACTCCGACAACAAATGTAAACAAGCCATAGTAAAAGTTTGCCCATGGCGATGGCGGCAGCGACTGTTGCAGGACTCGGGGACATTCCCGATGATTTTTGTATGGGATACATTCAAGATGCAAACATTTTTGAAAAATGTTTATCCAGGGGAACTATTTATTTTAGAGAGGGCTATGTCCACAACCTAAATTTAACAAAAATGATGTCCAAGCAGAGGTGGCAATCGGAGGGAGATGCTACCGAAGCATGAGAAAGGGGGAGAAGCCACACTTGTTAACATTACATGTACAGTAGGCTTAACAAAGAAGTGTGTTAAGGACGCATACTGTTCAGCTGGGTAATTATCCAGTTTGGGTCTGTCGAGTTCCGTTTTTCTTTTCTTTTTTTAATTAAATGGTTGTTCAAAATATCATGCAGTGATGTACGTTGGTTTCCTTGTTCAGACGGTTTTTTTTAAATAGCGGTATCCGCGGTTCAATACTTGGCAATTCTCCCTATATAGGAGGGAGACTCACGAGTTTTACATCTACATAGTAATGACCACCTTCATCTATTTGAAGATCATGGCATGTGATAGTGTGTGCTGAGGCCAAGAGAAGAAATTGAGCAAGTTAAACTAGTGAATTTGCTA